TTACGGGAGTAGAAAGCCTCATCTTTCTCCCGCGGAGCGGCTGGTAGTTTCGAACCGCTGACCTTAAGGTTCGCAGCCCGATTCGTAACCACTACGTGTGGGTGAGCCTTAGGTTAGTATAATTTCCAAAGTCCTTTTGTGAGGTGTTACTCATGGTGATTTAAAGCACAGATTCTAGAATCCGACTATGGTACAGTTAATTTACTTAATATGTCTCTTCTAGCCATGGTCTTTGTAACCCTCACCAAATGATTGGGGGGACCATGCAAGTAGGATGGTGTTTGTGTTAAGTGCCATCAAGTCAGTTCTGACTCATAGCCACCCTATATAGGGTTTCCAAGGAGCAACTGGTGAATTTGAACCACCAACCTTGGATTCAAACTGACCTTGCAATTCAGTGCCTATTTTACAGTGCCACACCAGGACGCCAAACCATGAAGAAAGTCATGAGTAGGGTGCGCAATCACTGCACAGGAAAGTTGTGGCAGCGGAGGCAACAACATGGAACAACAGAGTAGGAGGCTTCCTGGCCTGAGTAAAGTTGAGTGCCTTTGCACAGGAGGCTGGTTTTCAGAACTGGTGCCTTTTGGGCATCTATCAGCAGCACTAAAGGAACTTGTAATACTTGTCTGAACAAGACAGGCCAAAGGCCGAAAGGCCAAGAGCAAGAGAAGCATGCCTGCACTATGGCTGAAAAGAGGAGCTCCTGACCAGAAACCCGCTGTGTCTGAGTTGTTTCTGATCCTGACTTGTACGCTGTTCACTTTCCTAATCAGCCCCGTGAGCACTGTCTATGAGTTCTGTGTGACCACTGAAATGGATGATCAAATTCAGCAGTGAAGTAGAGTGCACTAGGAAACATGGTTGGTGTCAGATTAGGGGACAGATGGTGGGAGTGTGGAGTCATGTCTGACTCATGGGAATTGGCCTTGTGGTGATTTTCCTGTTTCCCTGTCATGAAGCTGGAAGAGGTCAGATACCACCTCCATACCATTTTTGCCCAGACAGTCTAGAACCTGCTGAATAATTTGTTTAAAGACACTCAGGACTAGGTATCAATCAATATATTGTTGTTAAGTGCCGTCAAGTTGATTCCGACCTATAGTGACCCTGTATTGGGTTTCCAAGGAGCGGCTAGTGAGCTTGAACCGCCAATCTTGAAGTTCAAACGGCTTTGCAGTCTGGTACATTAAGCCACAGCGCCACACCAGGACTCCATCAATCAATATACATGAACATAAATCAGTCAAGTATTAACTTGACACTTATTGTAAGGTGCTCTAGTAGTTCAAAACTATCAACAACTCTGGAGGAGAAAGATGAGGCTTTCTGCTCCTGTAAAGATTTCCTCAGAAACTCTATACAGCGTTGTTATGAGTCAGAACCAACTTGCACATTGCCGTTAACCGTTGTATGCTCAACACTGTAAGATGCTACTTGGGCCTTGTATCCTTAACCACTGAAATGAGGAAGATAAGGATGCAATTAGTAAACAAACAAAATGCTACACATAATGTGCAGTGTAGTGGCACAGGCTAGGTGCTGAGATCAAAAGGGAAGGGATGTTTTACAAAGGAGGTGGCATAAGCTGCTGGCAGTATATTACTAGTTATATAATACTGGGAAACATAGTGTCTTTAAGCTTCATTTTTCTCAACTGCAAAG